ACCTTTGATAATCTTGGGAAACAGTGGCCTGGCTTTCAGGTGGATTCTGTTGGCTCTGCAATGTTTTGGAAATCCAGCAAAGAAAGCAAGCAGTTCAGCCTCACAGATGAGAAACAATGCTTAAAAATCAATTAGTTTAATTAATTAATTTCACAAAGCAGAAAAACTGCAGCATTGGCAGGACACCGATGCCTTTTTGTTTAAGGTTACTAATGAATTATGAAAGCAATGACGAAAGAAATGTGTCACAGTCTCTAGGCTTCTATTGAACTCATGTATACATCAAGCAGCAGAGTTCACTTCACAGTGCTGAAATATCCACAACCCTGATGGATTTTAATATGGCAACCCAGTCAATCCAACTGTGTTCCTGCTTCACATGGCCTGCCTGATTCACAGGGCCCTAAAGCACAGTCCAACATGTTCAGTCCCACTGCATGAGATCTGTATTACAAACATTTGGCTTCACACATACATATCTAATTAAGAAGGAAATGTTGTTTGATAACGGTTGTAAGAAAGTAGCTAGTCACTGGTTCTCTTAAACTCATTTGCATGCTGAACCTGATTCTACTAATATACAGACCCTGTGAAAGAGTCCAGAGCACTGTCTAGTTTGGAATCAGATTCAGCTCAGCGGCCTGATGAGGTGAGCACAGTGCTTGGAAGAGTAATGAAAAACTGTAAAAAAAAAAGACAAAAATCTAAAATTGTTATACCACTCAACTTTGATCAATAGCCAATATATAGTCGGCCTATAATTTTTAATCTGTGGAATTAAAACTCAAGTCTTTTGATCAGTCCATCACGATTAAGGTTTTTCATTGGCATGAGACATTGCCTGTCCCTTGAAAACTTGAAAAACAGGGTGTAAATTCCTTAATTAATTAAATAAATAAATAAAATAAACAGCACCCATATCAGATCTCAATTAGTTAATAACTGCAATAGTCAAATCTGATACAGAAATTATTTAAGAAAACTGGACTGGTTTTGCTTGCTTGGTTCTTTCCTTCTGAATATAGAAGACCTATCTGCAAAGTGAATTAAAGAGACATTACAGCGCGTTGGTTGAAAAACTTGAAATGTATGAATTTCCTCCATCAGAAATATTTAGTGTGAATATCTTATAGCTTCTCTCTATTTTATAATTTTCTTATGCAACTGGTATTTTGAGAATAAACCGTCCTCAGTCATGCCATTATACTGCACAAAACAGAACTCACCACACACATCGTCAAGGCACAATGTATAGCGTAAAAACATGCTAATGCAGCTTTTGGCTAGAGATGCAATTGTGGTCTTCAGTGAGAGTTGGAAAAAATGTAATGAGAGCATTGTTTACCCTAATATGCTGGAGGTGGAGGGCAACACGTCGTGGAGGTACTAAGTCATCAGCAAGAGCTGTTAATTTGACATGTGGGTGTTAAGGCACAGTAAAGAAGTTTCCTTTAATGCAACTTGTTATTTTCTTGCTTTTAAGGGATTGTGTAGGAGGATTTGGCACCTAAGTAACTTTATCTGGGTTTTAACAAAGCTTTTGTTGGGGGTCTTCAGTATACATTTGAAGAAAATTAAAAGCAGTATTTACCTAATAGATTATAATTAGATACTGAGAACAAATACGATTTGCAAGTATGATTTGTAGCTTTGAAAGATTATTTGCTAGCACCCTTCTGTTCTGATCAGGCATTATATCAGAGCTCCACTCTGTGTCAAGAATCAAAGGAACAAATATTCCTTTTTGGATATTATGGAGAGTTTACATGTTTCTGAATGCACTAAGGATGATTTATTTGTCCCTTTAGAAGCAGTTTCTCTCTCTCTCTCTCATATCCATATACATACACACACACGTGGGGGGCATATACAGTGGTACCTTGGGTTACATATGCTTCAGGTTACATACGCTTCAGGTTACAGACTGAAATAGAAATGCTACCTCGGGTTAAGAACTTTGCTTCAGGATGAGAACAGAAATAGTGCTCCGGCGCTGCGGCAGCAGCGGGAGGCCCCATTAGCTAAAGTGGTGCTTCAGGTTAAGAACAGTTTCAGGTTAAGAACGAACCTCCGGAACGAATAAAGTACTTAACCCAAGGTACCACTGTATGCATGCAGTAATGCATACACTTTTAAAAAGCTTTCTGATAATATGTTTCTTTTCATATGCAGTGGACTAATTCCTTCAATCGTCATTATATGACATATGGAGTTTTCTTTTTAGTGAAAAGTAAGCAAGTTTCACCCAAAGGTGAGCCAACTTTCACACATTACAATAAATGGCAAGTTCCATTACCTGAGAGATGGGCAAGTAGAGGTGGACAGCTAAGAACATACAAAGAGCTCTGCTGTCCACATAGCCTAGAATCCTGATTTACACAATGGCCAAACAGATGCTTCCAGAAAGCCTTCTGGCAGGTCAAACAAGTCCTGCCCTGCTCATTCACTTACAATTGTATAAGCTTACAATTCAGGACATTCAAACAAGACAGAGTTTAGGTGCATCTATAACTAATACAGTATCAAATCAGCAGACCTGTAAATGCCTCACCCTCACCCTCCAGGAAACACACAGCATTGATGTATATTGCTTTTACAACTCTCACCCCAGCATCACCTGTCATCAGCATAAGTCACTCAGGTGGCTCTTACACTACCAGCAAATTCCCCGCCCCCAAGTTCTCAACCTGGTCCTTGCTCTCTGAGAAGTCTGCCCTCTCACAGTCAAGGGAACCTGAGTTATCAGACAGCAGAGGGGCCGCTGTCACCAAATCTATTACTAGGCTTCCCTCCCCAGTGTTGTCTAAACACTCCACTTCCATCCCGGGGGCCTACCTACCACTCCCTAGCAACAAAGCAACACCACACGTGGCAATATCAAAGCATTTATTGGAGAGCATCTGGGACAGAGGATCTCCTAAAAGGAAAAGACAACATGCGTAGGATTGTTGGCTAGTCACTCCAGCAAGATGTGTACCTTGGATAAGGGCTTGATAGACAGGAGTACAGCAAGTACAGTGTTTCTGATAGCACCAACCCCATGCTGGGGACTCTTTAACCAATTGTGCAACTCTGTGTCACAGGGTTTGTAAGGGTACAAAAGCTGTCTAGAGCAAGTGGGCTAATGATCTCATGGAGCTGGGAGCATTTTGGTCACTGCTGCTGGTCTTAGGTGGGATGACTCCCTCGTGGTCAGCACAGAATGGGGCATGGAGAGAGGTCTGTGGAGAGGGAAGCGGGAAAGAGAGAGAGTACTGAGAAACAGCAGCTGAAGCACATAGTCACTGAACCTGGATGGAAAGTAGTTTTTTGTCTATGAAGTAGGAAGTCAGTTAGAAAAGTGAATAGAATCACCTGAGGCTCTGCCAGTGTTGATGTCTGTTTCCTTCCTCCCCATGGGTTGTAGTGGACACTGGGTTCAGCTCCATGCACCAGGGCTGTGAGCCTGCACAGCCAAGGTGTTAACGACTGTTTGACCAACAGTGGCACTGGGTGGACTGGATCACCTGGCCTGTACCAACCGAGAGCTAACCTGCCTGTGTCACCAAATGACTCCCCTGGTGTGGGAGCACTAACTTCCCACTGTTGCTGGGGGAGGGGGGAATGTTAGAGGGAAAAGTTCAGAAGATGCTATTTTCAAACATATCAAAGGGGGCAAGACATGCTCCCTTTCTTTTTTTCTTTCTTTTTTTTTTAATGATATTTATTGAGAATTTTAAGGTTACAAAGAAGCAAGAAGAAAAAAACAAGAGAAAGAGAAAAAGAAAGAAAAAAGTAGATAAAAGTAACACTTAAACAATACAAATCAATAAAAACCAAAGTCAAAAAACAAAAAACAAAACACACAATACATCAAAATCAAAAAGCAAAAATAAACAAAAAATTTAAAAACAAATCCAATATTCCCAGATCCTTAACTGTCATTAACTTATTTCATCGACCTCCTCACACCTCCCTTTTTTGTATTCTAGTTGTTAATCTCAGCAAATCCTTTCCATCTTTCACAATATTCTGTCATTAAATTACCTTAATCTATTTTAACCTTATCTTACCATAAAAAACCCTAAAACTTAAAACTTAAATCTTATTTATACCAAATTCTCTTAACCATAACATATTCTTACATAATTCTTTTTAACATTTCTGCTAAAGCCAAATAATTTCATTCCAACATTTTTCTAATACTCATTAATTTTACGATACTTTTCTAAATAAATTTTTAAAACTTTCTTCCAATCTTCATCCATCGTCTCTTCTTCCTGGTCTCGGGTTTTGTCAGTCCTTTCTATCCCATCCATCTAGTCCATCAACCTGGTGACCTTATATCCGAGGCTCTTAAGTCTTTTCCATGTCCCTTCTGCAGGTCTTCTTCATGTTTATACCTGTACTTTACTTTGTCTTCTGCTCCTTTCACTCGGGGAGACTCCAGCTTGACAATATTTTTGTCCCTTCTCGACAAGTCAGCCCCTTTTCCATAGTCAACACTGAAATCCATGTGATATTTAAAGGCATGTTTCAAGGTCCCTCCAAAGTTAAAGGCCCCCACAACTCCGAGCTCCCCCCGGCCCAAAGCCAGACTTGAAAGGTCAAAACATCCCTGCATAGGGGGGTCTATCCAGCCCCCCATCTCCAAGCCAAACTGAACTCCATCTCTCCAAATCTGACTTTTTCCAGGTTCGTTCATCAAATCTAACAACTCATGTTCCTGCTGGGCCACAGCTCCCTCCATCTCGGCCACCCGAGGTCCAGCAACAACCTCCTCCCTCATCTGATATGTCAAAGCACATTCCTGGATTAATTCCTGAGTGGGTTCTATATAGGTACCCACTGCCTGTCCAAAATTTCCGATCGCAACAGTCATCAAATCCATCTTCTCATGTAACTGTTCCAATAAAGCACTTACAGTGGTGCCCCGCAAGACGAATGCCTCGCAAGACGGAAAACTCGCTAGACGAAAGAGTTTTCCGTTTTGGAGGTGCCTCGCAAAACGAATCTGCTATGGGCTTGCTTCGCAAGACGAAAATGTCTTGCGAGTTCCTGGGTTTTTTTTTTCCTTTCCCCCCCTCTTTTTCTAAGTCGCTAAGCCGCTTATCTGCTTATCAGATAAGCTGATAAGCTGCTAAAAGCCGCTAAAAGCCGCTAAAAGCCGCTAATAGCGCTAATCCGCTAATCCCATCAATGGGCTTGCTTCGCAAGACGAAAAAACCGCTAGACGAAGAGACTCCCAGAACGGATTCTTTTCGTCTTGCGAGGCACCACTGTATCTTGCAAAAGGCAAGCACCAGAGCCTCTGAGCACATTCTTGTTCAAGGTCGAAGTCTGGTCCCACGATCTTAATCTATTACAGCTGCAAAGCTTCCCAGTTCGGCATTAATAACAGTTTCGCAAGCTCCCTCTAGGGGAAACAATTTCTATTTGTGTCCATCTTTTATTTATTTATTTTTAAAGCAGCTCTAGCAACAAAGTGTTCCTTTTTCGGATATTTTGTCAATATTTTGTTCCTTTTAAATGCAAAGGGGAACAATGGAATCAATATGTTTCTCTTCTTTTAAGTATCTGTCAAAAAACGTTTGTCCATAGTGAATGAACTTCCCCAAAACGTCTGTCCTGACACCCCGCTCCCAGTTTCAAGACGGTGGAAAATTGCCTTTCTTTACTCTCTCTTCTGCAGGTTTAAACAGTCTAAAAAAGGTTCCCCCCTCTTCTCCTGCTTCCAAGGGGGGTTCAGTAATTTTAAATGATGAAAATTTGATCCTTTACAGACGACTTTCTAAACTCTAGCTTGCCGTGTCTTTGCTTCAATCTATCTACAAAAGCGGAAGGCGGACTTCCTGTTTAGACCTTCCCGCTTCAGTGCCAAATTAAAGTTTCTTAATCCAATTTTCTGTTCTACTCACGGGCAGTTGTTTAAAATCCAATTGTCCACAGGAAAAAGTCAGCGCTCTCCAGCAACAGCAATGCGGCTTCACTCCGTGAAAGAAGCAGTCGATTCAAAGCACCGCGCCACTTATCCCACGTTGCTCCGGATCCCCGAAACCGGGTTTCCCCGTGAGTAGGGGGGGGCGCAAAGGTGCCAGCCGAATCCCACGTCCACAGGCTTCTCCCGCCTGTGGTTTTTGATGGGTCTCCGCCTCGCTGTGGCGGTTCAGACCCTGTTTTCCACGGAGCGGATTCCTCCCGATGGAAGGAAATTCGCCATTGCCAGAGGCGCCAACCCGAAAGTCCTAAGACATGCTCCCTTTCTTACCTGTGTGGTGTGCTTCATCCTGACACCCACACAGATTTTGCAACGGCATGTTGGGGTTCTAAGATGAAAAGTGTTTGCAGTGTGCTTAAGTTTCCCTCTGTGTTCTGAGGCCAGCTGTTTGCTGTGAAGTATGTTTTCTGCATAGTTTCCCATCATCAGAAATGACTCTTGGAGCTCCAAATGCATACAACATGGAGTCAGAGACACATAGCTCCATGCTGTGTGCCTTATCATTTGTGCAGTCCCTTCCCTTTGTAGGGTTTATATACTGGTGGTGATGTGCTGTCACTGGGTGCTGCGTTACACCATATCCTATGCAATGTTGAGGCCAGGAAACGGAATGGCTTTTCCCCCCATTCATCCTGCCAGACTATTTGCACCAGGGCTGGTATAAACTATTATTATTGGTATAAACTGTTATAATTGCCACAGAGGCTTCTAAGCAGTTTACAAATATAAAAGCGATTACAAAAATAGAAACATTCAATTTAAAAACACAATAAAAGAATTCCATCAAAACATTAAAATAAACACCCACAGTTAAAATGTACAATAAAACAAGCCAATTAGAACAGCACAACAATTAGGACCAGTTGAAACAGCAATAAAAGAAAGAGGCTCAGATCAGTGGATGCTTATCTAAACAGGTATGTCTTCAAGAGATGGCCGAATGCCAATACTGAGGTACCTTTTAGCACAGAGAGAATTTCACAACATTGGTGTGACCAGTGAAAAAGTCCTCCTCTGTGTTACCACAAGCCAATAACCACCAGCCTATGGCAAAATTAACAAGTTCTATTAGTGCCCTTACCAAGCAATGGAGGGAAAGTCCAGGTCTTTCAGGTAACCTGGCCCAAGGCTGTTTAGGGCTTTATATGGAAGTAGCACAACCTTAAAGCTGGATAGGTAGTTAAGCAGCAGCTATGCAGATCTGATTGCACTGGGATGTTATGTGATTGCAAAGAGGCACCTCTGACCATCTAAGCTGCAGCATTCTGGACATCTGATGATAAGATTGAAGATAAATAGGATACAATGAAAATGTTCCATCCTTGTACCACCCATGTTCTACCTATAATTCCATCCTGTTTTAGCTGTTCAGCCTGTGTATCATTCATGCTAGTGGTATATCTCAAGTTCTGCCAGCACAGCAGGGCTTTCACAAATTCTGTTTTTCTGTTTGCCAGTGTGCTTTCAGTATAGGTTGTGCCCTTAATACTGTTATAAAACCATTATAAAGCCTCATAATTCTTATAGTCTATAGACTGCTTCTTAAAAGAAGAAAATGTTAACAATGAACAATTCTTTGAGAGACAAAGGATCAAATTTAGGATGAAGAGATCAAACTTTTATCTGCCTGGAATAATTTTATTTATGGTTGAATTTTAAAAAAAATACATTTCAATGCAGCTTTTCTTTAAGAGAAGAACCAAGATGTCCTACAAAAATTAAAACAATCTAGAGTGCCCCCAACCATACATAAGATACAGAAGCAGTATAATAAATAATAAATGAAAGCAGACCATATAAAAATCCTATTTCATGATCCTTCATTTTACGCCAGTCAATTTTGTGCAGAGAAAGGAGACCAAGGTGATAAAGGGTCTGGAAACGGTTGATGGCAGTGAGTATGTTTAGCCTGGAGAAGACAGGACTGAGAGGTGACACGAGAGCTATCTTCAAATATCTGAAGCACTGTCACATAGAAGATGGAGCAAGCTCACTTTCTGCTGCTCCAGAGGGGAGCAACCAAACCAAGGGATTCAAATTACCAGAAAGATTAACTTTCTGACGGTAAAAGTTGTTTGACAATGGAATGGACTACCTCAAAAGGTGGTGGACTCTCCTTCACTTGAGATTTTTAAGCATGGCTTGGATTGCCATCTGTCAGGGATTCTTTAACTGTGATTCCGGCAATGCAGGGGATTGGAATAGATGACCCTTAGAGTCGCTTCCAATTCTACAATTCTATGATTCTATGACTATGCCAATATTTGTATTGAAGGCTGCCTACTGTAATTTACAGATGAGAAGTATTACAGTACTATATGTTAATGCAATCAGTATTGTCATTTCATGATTTCATTTGAAGCATTGCATCATAAGTTCATTCTGATGTGCACACCCTGAAGTTCGATTATGCAGTAATTTGCAAAGCTAAGGTTCTTTTATTTTAATTTGTTACATGTTAACACAATAAAGCACTCCTTTTTAAACTTTTCATTTAGACCTTTTTTGAACCACACCTCAACATGAGATTTTAACGATTTTCTCGATCTTAGTAAGATACTTACGTTTTTTTCTGTGCTCCACTAGACTGCTGGCCTGCTTTGCTGAACATTTTGCAAACCAGTTGTCTCCAAGAAGAACTGTGATCTCATTAGTGTGAACCAGTCTTCCTGGCATGAAAGCAAGGGGACCAAAAGGTACCTGTCAGAAGAACAAAGCAATGGTAAAGAAGATGAAAGGAAGTCTACCTTGTGCAATACTAAGAAACATCCAGTCCTATATCTCATCAATGGCTAGTACGAGAGCTTGCTGGCAGTCTTAAAGCTTCAGGATACCAATTGGCAGTCATGGTATAATGTAAGATTTTAATTACTCAATGACAGTGTTAATTAATCCCTAGCTTTCATGACTGTCTAATTATTTTTCTATCCATGTTTTATCATTAGCTACCCTCACAGCATTTGGCACCAAGATCCAGATCAACTGCACCACAAATATAGAGTCTGCTCAAACTTACAAAGTCAGGTCTAGGGAGCCAATCATATTCAGACATAAGAGCATAGTTAAGAGCCTGCTGGATCAGGCCAACTGCCCATTTAGTTCTGACCAACCAGATGCCCATGGGAAGCCCGAAAGCAGGAGCTGAATGCAGTAGCACTCTCCATAATTGTGATTCCCAAAAACTGGCATTCAGAAGCATGATATCTCCAACAGTAGAAGTAAAACATAGCCAGGCATGTTTGAAGTTACAGGAGCATCTACTTAGCCAACAACCTTTTCCACGCGAGAAAGCTGGCACCTAGAAGAGACACTGGTTTCTCAGAAACTGGACATAAAATTAACTTTTAAATGGATTCATATGAGCAAACCGTTTAATGCAGATCTACCAACATGCAATGTACTGCTCCCTTGGAAGGTGCATGACAAGAGCACGTCAGGAGTCAGGGGATGGTTAGACTTTAACAGCAAGGATTGGTCTGGGTCCTACCAATCACTCTTAAATCTTACAGGACAATAATGAAACTGACCAAGCAATCAGTGTGTGGTGGTGGGGACTCTTAGGGCCAGAATAACTTCAGTTTATTTTATATTATCAAGCAAGCAATTATATATTATCAAGCTAATTTTGTAGCAAACAAGAACAAAAGTCTTTCCATGGAAACTTCCTTAATGCAACACAAGTACAAGAGCTCATTATTGTTATTATTGTTGTTGTTATTATTTAAATATAACTTGCTTTTATGTTCCCAGATGAGTTGCACCATAAAACCAGGAAGTAAATTAAGGACACGTGATGTGTGCACATTGCTGAGTCATGAAATTGACATTATCTTCTAATGTTCCATCCATTAGCATTTTAGTTAAGAATCCTCAAGGTAGAGAATGTTATGTGTTATTACTAATATTTTGAGCTCTGTGATTACACTGAAATACTGAATTTGAAATCTTTGACAATTAGTCCAAATTCAAAAGAATACAGATCCCAACAAGAGTAAAAGTCCAACTGAGATATCCTAGGAACAGAAGGAACAAGAAAATATCCCTTTTGGTTTCCATGAAACAAAAAACTAGCTTTTTATACAAATCAATACCCACAACTTAAAACTCAGGAAATACGATTGCTTGCTTGCTTCTCCACCTCACAGGAAATTAGTGTGTATTGCAGGTTTAATTATAGGTTTCAATAAAATAAACAGGCTCTATCAAACATGTTTGATTTTGTCTTAGTACGTCTGTCAAAAATTTGGAGATTATAATTTATTATAGATTTCAAGAAACAAGACAGGAATAGGAAAACATACATTTAAACACTGTCTATAATCAATCATTGCTAACTACAATACCTTCATTACTGTATTTATTTATTTATTAAACAGATCCTGCACCTTCCACAAAAGGAGCCTAGGGCAGCAAACATATCAATACTAAAACAATTCCATTAAAACTTCTTTAAAATACTTTAAAACCTTCTAAAAAACAGTTTAAAGACTCCTAAAAGCAATCACATACTCCCAAATTAATAATTTCAGGGTGAACAGGGACAGAACTTTCAACCATCAAATGTCTGTGTAGACAGGAATGTTTTCAAATTTCTTCTAAAAGTTAATAGGGAGGGAGACTGGATATTGACACACCTCACTAAGGAGGGCATTCCCTGCCACAGTTCTTCACCAACTGAACAATGCCTTACCTAACTGGTCTCCCACCTTTGCAAGGGTTGGAGTGGTCAGTCAGAGCCAATCCAAAGCAAGTGCAAATAGCTCTAGCACAGATATGATGTTCCAAATCTAACAACCTTTAGATGGTCACAAGCACTTCATGGGTTAATTGAATCCTTCTTGGAGCTAAGTGTAGTGCAATGTTATGTCTGCACCAGTGTTAACATTATACATCATTAGCTTAAACCATTGTCTGCAAACCCTAACCATGGTTGCATTGTACCAGGGTTGCCTATGGAAAGGGAAAGTGTGTGAAAAGGAGAAGGAAAAAAGCAGTGTACAAACCACAGGACAACTCCTGGTTAGCAGTTTGTGAAACGCTATCTGCAGTGGGCCATAATAAAAAGGGCTGCCTATAATTCCACTGAACTAAATAGTACCTACCATGATATCATAAGAGAGTCTGTCAGGCAATGTGCCAAGTCGTTCCTGAAGAGCTTCATAGTCACTCTCCACCTTCTTCCTGTTGGCAGAATTCAAACCATGTTACTTTCAATCCCAACAGACTTTAAGAACAAGGTACATAAGTTTGCTAATTACTTTTCAGTTGGGGTTTATATAAAAGCAGAGAGAGAAATTGCCATGGTTAAGAGAATGCAAAAATGGACCCTGTTGTGAATACTTTCAAGGCATTACTAAATTCCCTATTGTAAAATGGGTGTGTGAAAATAATGTGAACAATACCACAAATGTACATTGTCCATGCAGGGAAAACGATTCTTAGAAGACAGCTATCTTAAACATGATAGCGTAAGACCAAGTTCTATTGGGCTGCAATCCTATACCCATTTACCTGAGCGTAAACCCTACTGAATTCAATAGGACTTACTTCTGAGTAGAAGTATATATATCTCAAGAGACAGACTTGTCATTTGTGATTTGGGACTCATTTCTTAAGGATGGCATATCTGGCTGTTTTGGAGGTTTGATGTTTAAATCAATAGAATTACAAATGAATTTTAAAGGGGTTTGTGCAGGGAAGAGATAAAAGGTCTTCATTTTGTGCAACTGTTCTCTTTGCCTGGCATGATCACAACACAGTCTGCAAGGCAGTAAGAGACAACAACTGCAGTGAAAAGATGATGTTTAGCCCATTCAGCTAAAACCATTTACCTTGAGCCATAGCTTTGCGGATGGGTGCTGGGCACAGTGCCTATCAGGTCAATAGATTCCTTACTCTATACTCGTGCTTCCCTACTTATAAATATTTTAAACAAATAAAATAAATAAACTGACCACCTAGGTTACTAGACTGAGGGAAGAAACAGGCAGATCATGATAAGGCCTTAACCAACACAACACAGAATCAGACATTCCCAGGAAATCAGATCTGTGACACTCAATCTGTAAAACTATGGGTACATTAATACAAAACTTAGAACTGAATACCTGAAAGGGATGGGAGTGGTAAGTTGCACAAAAGCCACAGTAACAGTGCTATGCCTGTGTGTGAGAGCAAGGCCCCCTTACCATATAGAGGAATATGTGGGGACCTTTTAAATTGTTGTTTTGAAAGTGCTTTTCAAAATATTTTATAGTGATATTTTATCCTGAGAATGTTTCTGGCTGTGTATGTCAAAATATTTGCAAAACTCATCTACCTTCCACTTTCTTGTGTATTTTGGTTGCCTGTTTGCATCCACTGTTGCCATGATCCACTACTGTTTTGAGTGAGAGATGGAGACCAGGGACTAAATCTCCTTCGCCCAAGCAACCATGGTGATGCCCCTGCCTTGCCACTTTACATTGGCAATTCCACTCCCTGATAGCACTGCATGGCAAGACTTTCATCCTATATAACTCATTTCATGCAGCTATGCATAACCAGTTGGCGCAGCATAGGGATGCACATTCAGATGAGCACCCAATTTTAGAAAGGAGCAGAGGAAGTTGTGTTATGGAAGGCCACACTATTGGTCCATCTAGCTCAGCCCTGTCAACTCTGAATGGATGTGACTCTTTCAGATTCTCAAGCAGAGATCTTTTTATTTTATAGTGGGCACCACTATAATATCCATCTTATTGGAAATTAATGTGGTTTCTGAATTTTAAACATTAGCAAAGCATAATAGTTTTAGACCATTTTCTACAAACCAATAGTCACAATTTAATATGATGAGGTGTAAAGATGGCCTTGATTCCCCTTTCCCCCCATTCTTCTTATCCATGGCTTGCAACTTATGTGCTTTTAAACTATTTTTAAAAACCCAAACATTTTATTACACACACGAACTATAAATTATTTGCTCAGAGGTCTTTCGGGCATGAAGAAAAAGCCTCTTAAAATAAATTTAAAATATTATATGCTTGATGGTGTATAACCAAAGTTTAATCTCTCCACTAAAAGGGGCAGTTGCTGTGATTTTGCAATAACCCTGCAGACAATAATCAAGAAGGCTCCTGTTGTTCTCTCCGTAAAATCCTGGTAAACGCAGCATGGATGTAGCATAATTTGGTATCTGTTAAGATCAAGTGTTATCTCTCTATAACTCATACAAAATCGTTCACCATTAAATATACCTTTTCCTGTCAGATACTCATATGAAACTTTCATTTACCCAAGATGGTTCCTATTAACTAAAAAAGCATCACATTAAAAGAGCAACAAAGACAGGCCAGGGATAATATTTTAAGGGATAATAATCTCTCTGAAGTCTCACGTTTACCTAAGGCTTTAAACTAATATATTTTCATTGCAATTGGATAAAATGGGAAAAGGCCATTATCTATCTTGAAGCCAATGGACCCCTTTATAAATTGCAGACCTGATTTTTCAAAGTTCTTCTTATCCACACGTTTTGGATACTTCCCAAGACCATTTCAGTGCCCAACCACACTGCATTTTACTGTCACTTTAGCTTTCTTGGAACAGAAACAAAAATATATAGTTGTGCTTTGTAGATTTATAGACTTAAGCCTTTCTATATGATTACTCTGGGTGGGGAAAGGGGGAATTAGTGTGTGTCATTTTAAAGAGACATGCAGATTTAAAGTATGATTATATAGTGCATTAGAGCATCACAGAAATGCAGAGGGTGCATTTCAATAAGCCAGGACAAGATCAAAATTATGTACCAAAATATAGCATTATTTGAATTTGGTCCATTTTCCAAAAACTATACGCATTGCACTTTTCTAAACACACACATAGAGTATTTTATTGGTATTTTAGGCATGCAAGCAAACATTTTTCACTTACCAGTGCTGAATTTTTTCTTGGCAGCTAGTGACCACCTGTCATTAAAACAGATAACTGCTCATGAAAAAACAAGGCTAAGCACACAGCTGCAAACTCAATGTTTCAGAAACTAGAGCAGACGCTTTACAGATCTGGTGGCGTCTCACTATACATTTTTATTTGTCAGCGCAAAGGCGCGCGAACGTTCGTTCTTAAGCAGCCCACTTTATCACAATGCTCTAATCCAAACTGATAACCATAGAATAAATTACACCTTCCCCAACTCATATTTTGATACAATGCATGCTCCATAACGACGAGATGACACATGATACAAGATAAAACCAGTATTTTGTACAATCTACACATCTGTTTTCAATGTTACATGCTTTGCAGAATAAAGCAAATATAATTTATAAGAGGAGTGCATGTTTGCTGTTTGTTTAAAACAGAATCACCCATAAAAACATTTTTCTTCATTAATACAACTCTAAACTGTAATCTGACCTTCAGTTTCACCCTGGTGCAATAAACATCTGATTAATCATATAAAAAAACAATGTGAACTTTGATTACAATTTGAGAAACATAATATATACACATACACAAAAGTGAATATTATAACATCCATCAATTTACAGACTTCTGGGAAGAGGAATATTATTTAATCCAAAATACATTAGAAGACCAGGTTCTTGTCACTATTTAAACAATAAAAAAACCCCCACAAAACACATGAAAGTTTTAGATCCCACTATTTACACTACCAAAATTTTAAAGCATTCAAATATGATAAACACATTCTGGGCTTTGAACACTAATAATAAATAATAATAGTAATGACAATACCCGAGTTCAAAACTCCCTCATAGTAACAAAGGAATCTATTCACATATACAAGGTATGGGAGGAGAGGGTTTTACCATTCCCTTTATCGTATCTTGGAGGTATAATGTATATATAAGAGCTGTTCCAGTTGTTCTCAAGCTAGCGGGACACATTTGTGGAAGGAGAGAAGAGTGTTTCTGGTATTCATCAAACTAAATGCACACACAAAACCATACTTAAATTGTTAACAGTATAAAGCTGCATTGCCTCTGAATAGTTTACAAAACAATGTGAACACAGGAGACGGAGTTACGATCCTTGTTGGTCAGTGAGTCATTATCTAATACAGGGGTTGCCAATGTAGTAACCTCCAGATGTTTTGGACAACAACCCCCATCAGGTCCAGCCAGCAAGGCCAATGGTCAGGGATGATGGGAGTTGTAGTCCATAACATCTGGAGGACACCACATTGACTACCCCAGTCTAATAAATGCCTGTCTCACATAATGGTGACAGCAGCACTTTCTCAAGTACAAAATATTATATCATGTGCTCCTGGGCAATGAGCTATCTAAACAACATAAATACAACTTTGAAGGAAGTTGGTAAGACTATATGCAACATATGAGAAACAATAGGTAATCAGTTGTGCTGAAAGGTCTTTGGCCCCTTAAAATGTGTGCATGCATCTAAAGACGCAATCAGGAATGGGACCACAACATGTAAGCAAGGGGATTTACTCTTCCCCGCCCCCCCCCCCCGCACGGCAGCCCCCATAAAAATAATTTTCCCCATCTCCCAAACTTCTACAGTCAAACCTCGGTTCTCGAACGGCTCTGTTTTCAAACATTTGAGTTCCTGAACGCCAAAAACGCAGAAGTAAATGCTCCGGTTTTCGAACGTTTTTTGGAACCTGAACATCCTACGCAGCTTCCATTTTGAGTTTCCCTATTGAATTGAGGCTTCTGCTTTCAGTTTTCCGAAGTCGAATGGTATTCCAGAACGTATTACGTTTGAAAACCGATGTCCCACTGTATTTTCACCCAGAGGGAAGTTACAGATTCAAATAGCTCCCTCAACTATTGTCTGTTAGGAACTGCAGGTGACACTTCTGAACATGGATAGGGACTCTTCAGCACTCTGAATCTCCTTCTTTCCATCGCAGTTCTTGTACCTCCACTCCCAAAATGCTTCTTCATAAGGTAAGAAATGCTCCAGTAGCCAAAGCAATAAAAAGAAGGTATGTTCAGTAGAGGAAATACAGAGTGTCCCAGCTAGGGAGCAGAAGGGTTTGCATAGATGCAAATAGCTCTATGGACCACAGACTGTATATCAGAAGCAAACATATACCAATTTTACTCTGAGGATTGTGAAACCTCTGCATGTAGAAGGAACTTAATAAAGTAACTCATACTTATTTCCGATCTGAATATAGGGTTTCACAAATCATCTTTACAAATATTTGTTTCTCATGTACCCACAAACAAGCTAACATGTGAAAGCAACTACTGGGAACATTTGCCAGAAAAATAATGTTTTATCTTCAATGTTCCATGAAAGCACAGGTGCAGATGGTTTCTTTGTAAAGAGGGACTGATGGGGCTTGGCAAAACTATGAAGATTTGGCTTATATTCAGATACTCCAAGGTAGATTGTAGACTCAGCCTGAGTGAAGTTTGCACAATCCACTTAAAAATGTAAAGCAATATTACTTTCATAAAATCCCATCAATTTGTTGTAAGCTTGTCATTTTTGTACATGAAGAGGCAGAAAGAATCATCCTATTCTATGCCATACACTATAAAAATTGTGTATCTGAAAACAAATGTAGCTGACATAGATGTGTTCTACTGTATTTAATTTTTCCCCTTCTAAAATCAGAGTTCCTTAATAGATTTTTTGGAAAAGAATGAGGCAACTATTCATTACTTCCAGCAGAATAAATCAAAATAAGAATTTAATGTCCTCAGATAAGAGCTGTTGTAGCTCATTGGTTGGTCTAGCATTGTTGCCAAGATAATAAACTACAATCTAGGAGGTTGCTGGTTCAAATCTTGCCTCAGTTGCAAGCCACTGACTCCATTTCAGACACCCTGTAAATGGATTTTAGGTTTATGCATTTCCTCCTCTCTCTCTCTTAGTAATTCACCATAACTTCTTCCATATAGTCAACCACAATATCGAAACTACGCAAACAATGGTTACCACAAACCATAGTTTGTCATAGCTAGTGCACAAATTGTGGTTTCAGATTTGGATGGGGGGGCGGGACTAGGGCGAACAATACTTACGGCAAACTAAATTCAGAATCAGGAAGTAAGGGACAGAATCAAAGTACATGAAGAAATCAGAAAGTAGGTAGCATACAAACCCAAGTTTGAGAAATACTGATGCCACTGACTGGCAGTGGCTCTGCAGGGATTCAGGTAGGAGTCTCTCGCAGCCTCACCTGGAGATGCCATTGAGGACTGAGCCTGGGACATTATGCATGCGGGATGGAAGCTCTGCTAGTGAGCTGTGGCCCTTCCTCCCTACCCCGCCTGCTACTCCTCTTCCTCCCACTACACTGAATCAGCTCAGCCACATGGGAGCACACAGTAATGTTTTCTTGCTAGAGTGGCTTTTTCTTGCTACAGTGGTGATTCCAACTAAATATCAGGAAGAACTTTCTGACAGTAAGAGCTTCTTTGACAATGGAAGAGACTCTCAGAAGAGGTGGTGGACTCTCCTTCCTAGGAGGATTTTAAACAGAGGTTGGATGACCATCTGTCATGTATGATTCCTGCATGGCAGGGGGTTCGACTAGATAACCCTTGGGGTTTCTTCAAACTCTACAATTCTATGATCCTATGAAACTCAAAGTATATTCACAGCATGAATGACCTGGCTGATTTCTCGACATTATGGGGCTAGTAACACTGGCCTACCTTACAGGACTGTAATAAGGATTACTAGAATAATATGCTACATAAATACTGCCATTACTACTACTACTACTGTTATGGGCTGTATAATGAAAAGGTTTGGGAAGTTGGCATTGAACAACACTAAAAATGTTTATGAAACCTTTTAAGAAAGTTCCAGCTCAAGTGCCCCATTTCCAGAAAGGGAAACAGGAAGCTTTCCATTCCCAATGCATGACTTTCCAAGCATGAAGTGAGCTAAAGGCACAAAAGCAAAAGCCCTGCAAACCGTGAAGTGCAGCGTGTTCATTAACCTCTACATGATAATCCTTTCGTAGCTGCATATTAACTAGTTACATATTCATAATCATTTACATTATTTAGAAGACCTTCTATGAAAATTTCCAGGCGATATCCATTAGCTACAATGTTAAAGGTTACTCAAGATAGTCTGCTTAATGTTTCCAGGAAGCTTTTTTTAATTAGTAAATATGTAAATTGGAAGCATATGCTTTTTTTGCTTTTTTTTAGTATTTTTTTTCCTTGGAAGAAAAAATGGGCCATCAGTAGAAAAGCACATGGACATATGCTGTTTTCATCAACCCTTAGCCCCTTAAGACAAAAATCAATAACACCAATCTATTTTAAATTTCATATTCTTCCTTTTGATATTTCCCATAAAGGGATATGGAAGAGCAGTCGGAAGAAAAATATGCCCCAGCCCCATCATAGGAGGTTGTCTTTCTACCAAGACAGAAGAATGGTTCATCTAGGTCAGTGACAGATTGGTGGTGGCTCTCCAGACAGGACTCCTTTCCAGTGAAGAAGAAAAAAAGGCTGTTTCAGGCTCGTCATCTGTACACAGTACAGTCTAATTACATACACATTTTCTGTGATGCATATCCCACTGAATTCAGTAGGGCCTACTCCTAGATACTCCTAGATAAGTATTCATAGGGCTGCAGCTTTGAGCATATTTAGTGCCTTAACACTATCACTACTATCACTCTCAAGTATGTACATAAAGAGCAAATTAAAAAGCAATGGGTAAAGTACATAGCAAAAAGCAGGGAGCAGCTACCATCGAAGAAAATGGCAGCTACATTTCTGCTCAACCCATCAGCTATCATGGTAGCATGGACACAATAATAAATTATATTCTGACTGGCAGGGTTCCTCCCTCCTGTAAAATGGCTCATGAAGCCACACTTGCTGAAATGTATGAAGCGATTTATTTGATTTTTTTAATTCTACCTTTTCCTGAGGATTCAAGCACAGATTGCCTTGAAGGAGGAACATGAATCCAGGAGTCAGTACCCAAGAGTCCAGCCTGGTCTGTGACATACTTAAACTGAATAAGTGTTATACACATAGCCAGGGTTATTTGGTGGGGTGGGTATAGAAAAGCATTTAGAACTCCTGAGACAATTAGTGACCTCCAATTATCATGGTGTGCATGATCATAAAATACCTAACCAGAACTTCAAATGAAATTTGTGATTGAGTCCCAAATAAATCTCAACTAGTTTAACAGCTTGTTTTGCGGGTAAAAGTTCAGTTTGGTGCCCAATGTCATATCCTTTGCTTGTAGGACAGCCTGCTTGAGAATGATGTAATGGTTTTCAAACCATAGTTTTACCTAATGGTACAAGATCAAGTAGCTATTCAGAAATAGTAGTTAATGCTCAAGCATTGTGTTTGCAACAGAACCTGACTTATGTCTCCTCTTGGTATAAATGATATACAGTGGTACGTCTGTTTTCGAACAGCTTAGTTCCAGAACAACTTGGAACCTGAATGCTGCAAACCCAGAAGTAGGTGTTCTGGTTTTCGAACTTTGCCCCGGAAGTTGAACGTGCTCCTGAGCTTCCATTTTTACTGTTGCGCAGCTCATTTGAGTCCCCATCATTGTAATTTAAGCCTTCCGTTTCTGATTGCAGTGTTCTGAGGTGATATTTGGTACTTTTGTTTTTGCTGTTTTTTGCGTTTTTGTTTGTGTGGCTTTTTCATTTTTGTGACTGTGGCTTGTTTTTCGTTTTATGACTATCATCAGCGCAGGTAAGAAAAAAAATTAATTTTAATTTCTATCATCTACAATACTGTTATTTATTTTATAGTACAGAACATTGACTATTGCTTTCATTTTATGGATCAATGGTCTTGTTAGATAGTAAAATTCATGTTAAATTGCTGTTTTAGGGGTTGTTTTTAAAAGTCTGGAACGTATTAATCCATTTGGCATTACTTTCTATGGGAAAGTGCGCCTTGGTTTTGGAACGCTTTGGTTTTGGAACGGACTTCCGGAACGGATTAAGTTTGAGAACCAAGGTACCATTGTATGTGCTTGCAAACATGAGATTATAGTGCTATATTTGAATACTGACATTTTTAAATAAAATGTAGATTACTGTATTTACGAATACCTGATGCGTCATCAATTCTAATACACACCTAAACTTTCAAAACCTTGAAACCAAAAAGTATTTGCTGACAAATGTAAATGCGCCATCAAATCTAATGTGCACCCTAATTTCTGTGATGTAATTTGGCCAAAAAAGGTGTGAATTACATTCAAGTAAATACGGAATTAACTACACACACAGCAAACCTAGCATTATCCAGCACTAAACCAGAGGTAGCCACTGTGGTGCCGTCCAGATGTTTTTTGGACTACAGCTCCCATAAGCCCTGACCACCAGCCATACTATTAAAACAGAATACTGTACATGTTGATATGCATTTGAATGTGCAAATGAAACAAAGCCAGATAAGCATTTCTGCTCTGGGCCAACAAATAATATAATGAAATATAATTGTTCCTTCAGGTGTTGATTCAGAACAATATTCTTGTCTATACAGCAACTGCATCTAGAGTTTTAAACATATCACTCTCTTTTTATCTATATTAATGCTGTTTAGGGGCCACAAGGGGGCACCATCATGTGAATCACCACCAATATATGTAAGCAATTGCCCAAGTTCTGTGTAACAACCACAATTTATCATCCAACTGCCCATGCTTTAATGCAGTTTCAGTTCTTCAAATTCAAACTTTCCACATAACGAAAGCAAGGTGGGTGGGGTGGAATAAACCACACCAATTATACTTTCAGGGGGAAATGATAAATGTATCCTTTTATAACTTGCAGCTTTAGAAATTAGAGTTGGAATTTATCAAGTTCTACCCACTGAATTCAATGGGATATACTCCCAAATAACTGTAGGCAGAATCTCAACTTTCTATTTGAAATTAACCCAAGAGAACGTAGAATTGGATGCAGTCAAGACAAGACTGAAAGGCTATTCGATTTCTACTTCAACAATGAAATCAACTTTTATTTTATCATTTCTACACAAGGGGAACTCACACCAGCGTTTGAAACTCCCATTGTTCTAGGTGCATTTTGTGACTGGGAATTTCATTCCCACAAGCAGTTTCTGAGCTCTGGGTGCAGTACTGCACCTAAGATTTCAGTTTAAAACTGCAGAGTGGAAGGAAAGAAGGACCTTTTTCTGCCTTCCCACTTTCAGCTACTCTCTGAAGACCCTCTTAAGAATATTAGGGGGGTAGGCAGGGGAAGGACTTGTCCATGTGAAAATGAACATAATATTTTAGCTGAAGTTAATTCATTTTCAGGTTTGTATTCTTGTTTAAAAGAAGTGCACCTAGACATTCTGCTGTTGCACCCATAACCTAGGTTTAAGGTGTCATTTAGCTCCTAGCTTTCATATCTCAGTTTCTAACACTGACTCACATGCATATGTCTCATTTAAAAAAGAACTATATTCCCTGTGATGGACTTTTCTTGAATGAATACAAGTTATTCCTTAATTAGAAGTCATAATCAACCTTCATAGAAACTTTCTTAAACATACATTGGCAATGTTATCTTAGGATAGTAGAATGTCCCAAACGAAGCCATGTGTCAGGAGAGAAGCACTTTGATCTGCTTCCCTGGATCAGCTGCTGCTTAAAAAAACCATGGGACATTTTTAACATTGGCTAAAACAAAAAAGGATAGGCAAAACATCAATAGATTTTAGGGGTGCACACTCAGAGGATGACCTCCAAACCATCCTAAATTTATTCACAGCTTATGAAAAGCTTGGCCTATCACTCAACATCCAAAAAACCAAAGTGTGCTGCACCAACAAGCACAAAGCAACCCCTCTGGAGCACCACAAATCCAACTCAATGGTGTAACACTGGAAAGTGTCAATCACTTCTCCTACCTGGGCAGTTATCTTCCCACAAGGACCAACATTGATGCCGAAATCCAGCATCACCTGAGCTCTGTCTTTGAGGATCAGGACATTCACAGGGAAACAAAAATGCTTCTTTTCAAAGCTATTGTACTACCAACCTTACTGTATGCTTGTGAAACATGGACCACTTTAAAATGCCATCTCCAATTCCTCGAAAAATTCCATCAACAGTGCGTCCGGAAAAAAATTACATATCACTTGGGAAGACAGGCAAACTAATGCCAGTGTACTGGAAAAAGCAAAGATCACCAGTGTCGAAGCAATGATTCTTCAACATCAGCTTCGTTGGACTGGTTGTGTTGTTCGGATGCCTGATAATCGTCTTCCAAAGCAACCACTCTATTCTGAACTTAAAAATGGAAAGCGTAATGCTGGTGGTCAACAAAAGAGGTTTAAAGACTCTCTCAAGGCAAATCTTTAAAAGTGTAATATAAACACTGACAATTGGGAAACACTGGCCTGCGGGTGCTCCAATTGGAGAACAGCCTTTACCAAAGGTGTAATGGACTTTGAAGAAGCTCGAAATCAGGATGAAAGGGGAAAACCTACTAAGAGGAAGGCATGTTTGGCAAACCCTCACCATGATTAACTCCTTTCCAAAAACCTATAACCCCATTGTGGGTTTGGCAAACCCTCACCATGATTAACTCCTTTCCAAAAACCTATGACCCCATTGTGGAAGGATGTGTGGATTCAGAATTGGCCTCCACAGTCACTTATGGACTCACTGTTAAGACTGCATTCATGGAAGACAATCTTACTTGGCTATGAGTGATTGCCAAAGAAGAAGGTATGCAGTTAAAATTTGGAATTTGTTTACCACATTGCAGGTGACACTATCCTAGAAAGAGGGCTATTTCTGTATAAATTCTGAAATGATAAATACTGTACATTCATGGTGAATTTCAACCCTGGTTTTGGTGAGAAGATGTGTATCATATATTCAACCCCCTAACTTATTTCTGAATGTTCAGTTTGCTTTGTTTGCTCAATCTGTATTTTATTTTTGAAATGTTAGTATGCTGCTTGGAGCAACTAGAAAAGCTGTAAATCAATGTTTTGGGTTCAAAATAAAGAGTACAAAACATGAAACTGAACCAACATTATTACAGCATTTATACACAGGGATATCAGTCTGCAAACAAAATTTCTGAGAAACTAAGATATGCAGGTCAAACTAAGCATATTTGCTCAAAAGTAAGCCCCAGTGCGTGTAATGGAACCTATTCCCCTAGAAAGAGCTAATAGAATTGCAACTTTAATGGCTTTCTGGAAAGCTTGATCTAACTGTAACTCTGACAACAACTTTTCCTAAGGTCTGCAGCAAAGCACAAGCATTCAGCATAAACTTCCTCATCTATAAAATGGGAAGAAGTGGTTTAGAAATATTACGTACCATTAGAAAAGTTACCTAATTATGAGTAAACAGCACAACTTGAGGCTGTTTAACCTTGAATTACACTCCACATTAAGCATCTTATTTAAATCATGCTTCCATTTATTAACAGAAAAATGAAGGCAGTGGTAGCACTCAAGAATGTGATTACAATTCCTTAAATTTCATGTTCATGTGAATGTTGGAGTCCAACCACAGGTACTCTTGTACAGGTGAAGGAAGTAAATGCGGTGTTAACACAAAGTATAAAATACACTGAAATACCAATTATTTTCCATTAGGAGTACTGAGAATTGATATATATTCAGTATAAACATGTTTAACACCTGACACCAAGCCTTGGTTCTTGCTGAAGTGCTGGATTTGTATCTGGGCTATATCACCTCATACAGCCAGAGGGGGCTTACATGACACCCATCTATCATAGAAAACAAGGCTAATTTAGCACACTTCTTCATGTAATGAATCATTTGTGTACTCAAGAATATTCAGCCTGCAAGCCCCTGCCAGCTGTATAAAGTGGTATTGCCTAGATGTAATTACTTCAGGGAAAACTGGGCCTAAAGCAAAGCATGTTAAAGAGCTAAGATTTGACATTCTGGCCACCAAAATAGTACAAAATGATAAACTCCAGCTACTATGTGCAACATGATGATAAGTTGAAATAGTATATAAAGCATACCAGAAACACCCACATATAGATAAGTTGTTCTCAGGTGGGTCAAATATTTGACGCTGGTAATGGCTATGTTACAGGCTGCAACCCAGTCATGTGCATGGAACTGTCCATGTTCACATAAGGGCTTTTGACTTTAATGGTTTTTCTAGTCTAGTCCTGTTTAATATATACATTTCAAAGGGACTCAAATGTTTAGAGTCCTTGTCTACCAAGATAGAAAACTATAATCTATCACACTTATACTGAGCAGGATGCCTCATTTCAGTTGGTGATAGCTGAGATAGACAGCTCATCTCCATGCTAATCATTATTTTGACTAACATACAATAGTGCTTATCTATGTATCTCCAGACCTGGTGTGTATGTTCTATCACACTCTCATACACACACATAAAAACCCACCTACCACCCAAACAGATGTTTTGTTGGAAATGTGTTTATTAGAATAATCTTGTGCTGGTTTACCAATACAGAGGCACTGGATTGCTTCCAGTTGTTTCTCTACAGGACATCCTTACCAGCCCGACACCCAATACTGTATTGCATATGATGGCAGATGACCTTGGCTTGTGAGGAACAGTCTCATAGGTTGAATTGAGAACTGCGCCAAGCCAAATGTTTATTAGGCCCACAGACTGGCGGTTTGCAATGCTGCTTTAAATCTGATGCTTTCCTTCTCATATGCTGGGGTAGCTAATGTGGTACCCTCCGACTATTGTTGGATTACAACTTGCAACAGTCCTGACCATGCTGCCTGGGCCTGATGTACATTATACTTCAACGACATCTGGTGGACGCCGCATTGCTACCTCTGCCATATGTCCTGAAGAAGGGGAGACTACTGTGCACTTTTTTGAATAAACTGCAGTTTTCCATCATGTCCGAACTCTGAAAACTGTGAGTTAAACTAAGATAATTTTTGGACATAACACTAAACTACAGCATTTTGCATTTGAACCAATACAAGTCTTGGATTTATGCATTCTGTCCTCCAAGTGCAGCTGGAAGGATCAGCTTTTAAACTAACCAGATTTCCTATAGTCAGCTGAAATGAAAGGGTTTAAGAATGATTTATAATCTTGGTTTGTTCACCAACCATAGTTTATACTAACCAAAGTTCCATGAGTTCAAACATAATGGAGACTCTTGTTAGTTTAAAAGCAAATGCTTCTGATCTCTTCCTCACAGCCTGCCAGAGAGGGAGCAGGTGAGTCCAGGCCAGCTAACACACACAATGCTGAACTGCAGTTTGAACATAATGCTAAACTGGGCCCATGGTTAGCTTACAAACTAGTATCTAAAAGTACAATTGGATCCTTATCTGTGAAAACAATTAGGATACACCACAATTTATCTCATCTGGATGTAAAGAGAAGGTGCAGTTTATTCAAAATGGAAAGTGAAAACGTTCAGTCTATTACCCTGACATGCACAAGAGGGGGATTGACTGAGTGAGTTCAAGGCTTACCACAGCTTGTTTTTGTAACTGTTGTTATTATTCATTCATTTCCAAATAGCAAACGGATAAAATATATCTACACTATGTACAGAAACAAAACAAATAAAACTGAATCAAAATACATTAAAGAAACAGAAAGAAGTACAGATTGGGTTACCCGACAACAAGGGCATAAAAACAGTAAATCATTTTCATAAGGCGACTTGCTGAAATAATGTAGTCTGAAGTTCATGCCTAAAACAAATTACAACTGGTGCCAGATTTGATTGCACTGGGTAGAGTTCCCTAACCCTAGCGCTACCACACTAAATTCACGCGCTCTTGTTGATGGTCTGACATGCCAGGCACCTCCAGATGTTCCTTGGTAGCATATCACAAAGATCAGGGAAGTGCATAGAGACTAAGGCAGCCTTTTATGTACACAGGCTCCAGGTTGTTTAGGGGTTTATACTCTAACAATGTACTGGCAGCTCTCTCAACACAGGTGTTATATGTTATCAGTTCCCCAGTGCACAACAGCAACCAGACTGCAGCTTCCAAACCAGTCTCAAGGGCAATGACAAACTGGTTTATTTTATATATGAAATGAGTCTGCAGCTCTTACTTCAGTAAATAGACTTAAGTACTGGGCTGTGAAAGATTCAAAATTCTGAAGAGAACTAATATATTTTGTGAAATTCTCCTATTTTATTTTTTAAAAATCCCTTTTAAAAACAGCACTGAAAAATGTAAAGCTACACATATTGATGGCAAAGAAAAGCTTTCTGACCTATAAAACAGCCTTTTCCTCTAGCTTCTCAATGGACAATCTTGGGGAAAATGCACTATGTGTAAGTTACCAGTAGTTTAACAAACAAACAATTCACAGATCCATGTCCTTGACCTTATATTTTTCATATGCAAACAAGTGAACTTGATGTTCCAAGAACGCAAACTATTCTCCCAAGTTTCTCTCTGCAAAAACATAAACTTTTTAAAAGTACAAGTACTCTCAGGTAAATGTCATTACTAGATGTTCTGATAATGTATTTCTGTCTCTGAGCTGAACAGTGAAAATTAAATAGAACAGCTGTACCTAACTATCCCCTCTACAAATTATCACCAGATTTTTCCAATAGGTAAGCAGTCCTTTTAATAAACATTTGAAGCTGCTGAACACCACAAGCTCAACAGTAAGACATTGCAACCCATCCTAAGACTGGAATCAGTCCCATTCTGTTAGAAGGGACAAATAATATACCAGCTTCCTCAATGGCTGTGCTGGTGGAAGCTGTAGTCCAAAACATCTGGAGGGCACCAGGCTGGGAAAGCTGCCATGGGTGGGGTGGGGAATTCACACTGTATATGCATAAAACTGCTGTCCAGTCTGCAATCTGCTACATTGGGTAAATGCCTTAAAGCAGCAATCCTTCCATATGTGGGCTGCCTACTAGCCTTAACAAGTTACAAAAGTATCCCCAAGACCATAGTTCATTTGAGTTAACACCACAGCAGTTAATTTTAGTGGAATGCTTCTTCTGAACCAATAACCTACTCTTATTTTTGCTCCCTCTGGTTTCTTTTCAAATAATGGTGTCTCACATGCTTTATCACTTGATTATTGCAGCAACCTAAGTTAGTACTTTGTATGTGTGAAGAAGAGCCATGTGATATCCAGTTCTACTGACAGCCCCTCAGGCATTCTGCTTTTTACTGAAATCCATTCATACTTTCTTCAAGTCATGAAATGATTAAGAGGCATCACTTCCAGGCGTGGGGGTAGGATGGGGTAGGTTCACTCTTGAGTTTTGGATCAAATTTAATTTGACTCTGTGCCTCTATATACGGACTCAACATTTTGGAGAAAACTGTGCATGTTTGCTACATATTATGGAACTTATTTACACAACAGATTGTAATGACCTGAAAACAGCCCAGATGGTACAGCAGTAAGCATATGGGGAACCTTTCCTTAAGTGATTCTGAAGTGATTTGATTTAAAAGAAATAAAGCACAAAAATAGCATATTAGTGATTTTTAGTTTGGATAGAACTCCAGTGAGAAGTTAGACCATTTATGCCTATAACTGAATGCCAAGGGTAATGATAAATGAATGAACCTTCCCATAAACATAGGACATATTTCTTTTTCAGGTGCTAGATTTTTTTTTATTAGAAAAAGGTTAAAAAGCTGGTGAATCCTTTTGTTTTACCCCTTTATCTATTTTAAAAGATTTATACCTTGCCTTTCAAAATAAATTAATCCCCAAAGCAGCTTATAAAAGATTATACAACTCAATACATAGCTATTAACCCATCTTGATGGTGGGACAGCTAAAAGCGACACAGAGAGAACAGAAGGTTAAAGACTTCCCCAAGCTCTTTGGCATTCCTGCCACTGCCTGTAGCAAGCCAAGGGCAAATGCACCTCGCCAAGAAGTGAGGGCATTACGTATCACTTGGGAGTGGGCTTCTCACATAGAGCAGATGGAAAAGTGACCCCTGGAGTCAGGTGCTGGATTGTCAATGGATATGCCAGTGGAAACCATGCTAAACCCTCTTCTCAGCTCTCTGGGATTCTTGCTACTCTTGTCTAATTAACACCTATTTCATGTAATAACTTGTAGCCATTTTGAGCATTGTGATGCCACCACTACTATAGCTTACTATTGTTTAATATTGTTAATGCTAACATTTTAAACTGTAACAGAACAAAATAACCCCAACTATATCAGATCTCTATGATTAAACATAGCAGAAGGGGCTCTCTTCACCCTTACTTGTACAATGCTGGGAACAAGAATCTATCCTCTTGCAAGACAAATAAAATGTAAAATTTTCCCAAAGTTATCAGTGCAATACAAAACCAAAAAAGTCATATTTTCACCCCATCCAAAGTGTCTTAAAAGCATCTCATAGGGATGGATAACTAATGTATTCTGCTCACCTCACTAGGGATTGTGGACAGGAAAATAGAATGTAATAGCACTTCAACAGGAGACACTAAGCCATCTGCAAATGCTGCTTTTTCTATTATTTCTGCTGCATTCTCCCACACTAGCTGACCTGGTGTTTGTCTATACAGTAGTCCTGTACAACATGCAAAGGGATTCAAAGAAATGTAATATATAGGGAGCTCCTCTGCTCCACTTAAGTTACTTTTCAGTGTTTGTGCAAGCACATGTAGAAAGTACAAACAAAAAAACAGCGACCCTATGATGGGCGAGCCAAGTCCTATTCCTCTAAAACACAATTAGTTTCCAGTGTAAACCACACTTTCTGCAGAAATGGCCAGTCATGCGGAGGCCCAGTTGATGTTGCTTATCCCATATGAAAGAGGTGAAAAGATATGAACCAAGCCTGAGCATGACTGATGATCATGTGGATGGTTCAGTGCACAGTCAAGGTTGTGCAATGGAGTGAAGCTGCTTGCACCACTTCACCGCCACACTGTACCACAGCAACTTCTCCCACTGAATGTATGAACCATGGTAATGTCTTTCCAAAGTAAAGTGGTGTGCTTTTTCTGCCTTGTTCCCCATGTGGTAGTCCTATCATACCCTCACAGCATGTTGTATGTGATTTCCTGATAGCCAGAATAAGCACAGGACTTCCAATCTGTCCAGCCTGAAGACAACCATTGGTCAGTTTATCCCCATCATTCAGCTGTTTTACTCCTAGAGTAACATGTGGGATAGGCAACAATATATTGCTGTGTCCTCACTTTCAAACAGGAACACTCCTGTTCAGGGTTCCAGTCAGTCAGCCATATCACTCCTACAGAATACCCTAAGTCAGAGGTTTTCAACCTTTCTGAGTCCCTGGCTCAGTCCCTTGACCAACTACATTCTTTCTGCAGCACCCCTGTAGGGCTCAGGACCCTAGTTATGTCACCCCTTCCCTGCAGAGCTGGCTGTTGTTTTGCAAGCCCCCTCCTTAGAGGCTGGCCCCTCTCACTGTCCTTGGAGCTTGCATACCGGTAACCTCCTCTGGCTGACATCCAGACAGACCAGGGAGATTTTGATAGGTGATGTCAACAAGCTGGCTGTTTGCAGCTGCGATGTTTCCATATACTGACACTGGCAGCCCCTCACCCTTTCTCGAATACCTTCTCTTATAGAATGTTCCCTCAGTCACCTGTCCTCTCCCCTCTCCTTGGGATTCCTCTGGGTAGCCGCAGCTGCCGCCCCTGGTCTCTGAGCTGCCCCCCTGCCCCAAAGAGAGGTGCCTTCTCACACTGCCCCACAGAGACCTGGGAAGCACCCCCTGGCCAGCTCCAGAAGCACCATTCACCCGCAGAGCTTGTCGCCAGGGCTGCTGCAACAAACAGCTGCAGCTGTTTGTTGCAGCAGCCCTGCAACCCATTCTGTGGCCCCCTTTGTGTTTCTCTTTCCAAACTGACACTCAAAAGTTCTGTAGCTACTGAACATGCTCAACTCTCATAAACAAACCACATACTTGGAAGTAAGTTTTACCAATTTCTGTGGACTCACTTCCAAATAAATGTATCATTGCAACTTTCAAGAGGCTAAATAGTATGCTTCGATGTCTTTTTTCTTTTTAGTATGTAGCACTATTTCAGCTCTAATAGTTGCAGTCAAGAACTGAATGCAGGCCAAGTGAGCAAGTGATTGCACCCAGCACAGAAACCAAACACTACTATTCCTCTGCAGGCTTGTTTTAAAAAAGTTTTTATCGCAGGCCAAAAACTTTTGTGGGCTTATCTACAACTCTGGCCTATTAAGAAGCCAGTCCTCTGAAGTTCAACGGAACTTACTCCCAAGTAAAGTTTGCATTTTAGCCTACAACTCCATGCACAATTGCCTGGACATAAGCCCTACCTGAAGCACCGTGATTTGTATCCAATGTGAGTTCTACTCAGAATAGACCCATTGGAAGTACAGTGGTACCTCAGGTTAAGTACTTAATTTGTTCCGGAGGCCTGTTCTTAACCTGAAGCACCACGTTAGCTAATGGGGCCTTCCGCTGTTGTCGCGCCGCCGGAGCACGATTTCTGTTCTCCTCCTGAAGCAATGTTCTTATCCTGAAGCACTATTTCTGGGTTAGCAGAGTCTGTAACCTGAAGCGTATGTAACCTGAAGCATATGTAACCCAAGGTACCACTGCAATGGATATAACTTTTGGTGGTGTCATGAGACAGTATTTTCTGAGGCTCCTCCCAGATTCCCTCCCAAAAGATGTTAGATTGGCTCCTTCTTTGCAATCCTTCTCGGCAGCAGGCTAAGACCTTGTTCAGACAGGCCTTCAAAAACTAAGATGCTGATCACTGGACTGCTGATCAAGGCAAACTGTACTTTAATTACTGGTTTTAAATGTGTTGTGGTGTATTTTATCTATTGTTTTTTACTAGTTTTTTTTTAAGCGAGCTTGCTTATCACTTTGTACTGTATTTTATAATGTTGTTTTTAAATGTTGGAAGTCACCTTGAATTCCGACTTGGGGAGACAAGAGATAACACAGTGTCCAACTAGGGCCAATGAGAGACCAGAGCTCAAGTCCCCAACTCAGCCATGAAGCTCCCTGGGTGACCTTGGAGCAAGCCCTACCTGGGGCTACCCTGTTTAGGGAAGCTTTTAATGTTTGGTGGATTACTGTATTTTAATATTCTGTTGGAAGCCGTCCATCATAATAATAATAATAATAATAATTAGGGGCCAGTCACTGCCTTTCAGCCTAACCTACTTGACAGGGTGGTGGTTGTTGTTGGATTAAATGAGGAGTGGGTAGAATTATGTATGCCACTTTCAAGAAAGAAGAAGGATATAACTGTAGTAAAATATATAAGTAAATATACATTAAAACAGTGTTGTAAGAATAGCAATAACCACCACGTTACTTTCAAGGGGGTCTAAGCCGAGTAGAACCAACACTGGGTACCATCCAGATGAACTTATTTCCAAGTAGGAAAGGTTAAAATTGCACTGTCAACTCACACTACGGTTTTTTTTTGGGGGGGGGGGGGGAATTACCAATAATTGCACTGTTTAAAGCGCGTGCTCTCTCTCTCTTTCTCTCTCTCTCTCTCTCACACACACACACAGGCAAGTCCATCATGCACACATACATGGGGAAGTGGAAAGGAAACCCTCTGCAAAACAAACCCTCCACATGGCGCTGCCATGACACAGGGAGCGTGCCTGACACACCCCCTGACGGGGTCCCCTTCCGCTCCCCTGCCAGCCGACCCTCGCGGGCCCCTCCCCAATACCAGCAATACCCCCCCAACTTACCCCCACCCATACCTCACGAGGCGCCCCCGACCAGGCCTGAGGCGCCGGGCCTGGCGTCAGAACACCCCCTTGCCCTCCTCACAGCCACGCGGCTCCCCACCAGGAGGGCGCCTTCCGTCCCTCGCCCCCTCCCCTCCCCAGGCCCACCTTCCCCGCCCCCAGTTTACCTTTCCATGCTCGTCCCGCAGGCGGCCCAGCTGGGCGGCGCTGAGCGGCGGGGCTCGGCCGGCCGCCTCCATGGACCTAACGGGGCCCCCGGGGTGTGAGTGTCGGTGCCTGCGCGTGGCGTGAGCGGGGGGGCGGGGAGCCTTGATGAGGGGCGAAAACTAACGGCCGCTCGAGAGGCTTTAGGCCTCTGCCTGCCTCTTACTTCTCTCTCTCTTTATGAGGGGAGGGGGTTTTGTTTTTGGTCCTGCGTATGTGTTTCTCTCTCCTCAATATATATATTGAGAATATATATGTAGATAGATATATATTCTCCTCAGCAAGGCGAATGAGTCCTATAGAAATGTTTGTGGAGGGCGAAGCGCCGGCTCCGGAGTCGCATCCGCCGCGCGGGGCCCGCCGAAGCCGCCTGGGCCCAGTCAGGAGCCGCTGCTGCTGCTGCTGCCGACGACGACGGGCGAAACATCTCACACTCGCATGCTGGGCCGCGCCGGCGCCGCTTCCTCAGCCGGGGCCCAGGGGTAAGTCGGAGTAGCGGGTGCTGTCGCCGCGCCGCCGGGGATGGAGCGTCGCCCCAGCCTCTGGTGGACTCGGGCCCGCAGGAGGAGGAAGAGGAGGAGGAAGCGGCGGTTGAGGCCCGTTCCTCGCGCCTGCCTGGCCGTGGCTGTGCAGCTCTCTGGGTAGCCGCCGCCGCCGGGAGGAGGCGAGGAAAGGGGAGGAGGAAGCGGCGGGAGGAGGAGCTGCCGCCGCCGCCAGTTTCCCTCACAGCTTCTCTCGGACGCGCCGCAGGATCAGGCCCAGCTGCCTTACCTGAAGGCTGCTATCCTAAACCCGCTTACCTGAGAGGAATAAGTGCCTTTGGCTTCCATAGGGCTGACATCTTCTCTTTTATTTATATATATTACCTGAAGGCAGCTGTCCTAAACCCGCTTACCTGAGTGGAATAAGTGCCTTTGGCTACAATAGGACTGACATCTTCTCTATCATATATATGTGTATCTCTCATATATATGTATCAAATTTTCAATTTTATATTTCCAAACAAGCATCTTACAAACTTTTTAAAATATCCAGTGACTTCCCTTCCTCTCTTTCCATGGTTCATTTTACATATGCATATTTTACTATAACCATTCAAATCAAAGTTTTCCACTTTTACATCCATCAAAACTTATTTACTCTGTTGGAGTTATCTTAACACTGCCAGCGTTTTCAGCTGTATGCAGTTATTTTCCATATATTCAATAAATGTTTTCCAGTCTTCTTTAAATGCATGTTCTTCTTGATTTCTTACTTTATAAAGTCTGCAATTTTTCATATTTAGTCATTTTAAGTTGGAAGGACCTTGCTCACTTTCCATTTTGGGGGCTAACAACACATGGGCCACAGTTGTTGCATACATAAACAACCTTTTCTGACACCTAGGAATTAGTTATATCCAATAAAAAGGACTCTAGTTTTTTTTCAGAAAGTAGTTTTAAACATTTTTTTCAATTCATTATAAATCATTTCCCAATACACTTTTACCTTTTTACATGTACATCACATGTAAAAAAAAGTTCCCTCTGCTTCTTTATACTTCCAACACATATCTGACTCTGTTTTTTTAAATCTTAGCCAACCTATTCGGAGTTAAGTACCATCTATTAATCATTTTCAGGTAATTCTCTTTCAATGAATAACATGCTATAAATTTCAGGTCACTTTTCCAGAGTTTCTCCTAGAGGTTGAGATCTATATTGTGTCCTGTATCTATTGCCCAGTGTGTCGTTGAGGCTTTAACAAGTGTGTCTTTTGCTTCCCATTCTAGTAGAAAATTTTACGTTTTAGACAAAAGTTTATCCTTATTTTGTAAGAGTTCTTTTTCAAATTGTGAGCTTTGGTCCAGAAATCCATTCTTTCGATCTAATTTAAACATAAAATCTTTTAAAATTTGTTTTAATTGAGGGTTTTCTTGGCTTACAAAAGTACATATGTCGTCTCTTTATTTTCAGAGACCTGTTCTTTCCAATGTCAGAAATCTGAATAGGCATGGATAGGGCCTACTGCTTCCGAGGCTGCTCTCATGTACATGCAGTTTTTACTGCAGCTACTCAAGAGGTAAGCGGCAGTAAGAAGTGCTTGCTCACAATTGGACTTAGTTGGAGCTTTCTATGTGTGTTGCAGTGCAGGCCCTACCTGGGGCTACCCAAGAGGTGATCTGAGTGATACTTCTTGAGAAAGAGGTTGAATTCAGGCCACATCCCACTGACCTGCTGGGAGTCAGTCCCCTTGGGATCAATGGGATTTATTTATGAGTAGGTAGGATTAGGGTCACTGCTTTTTATTTATTAAATTTATATAGCGCCCTCCTTCTGAGGTCACAGGGCAGTTTGCATTACAGGCAGGCAACCACCTGACCATTGACGTGAGGAATTGCGTTCCAAGGCACTGCACATTTAAGTGTAATCACATATAATTGAAACACCATTGAGAAAGCCTGCAAACACCCCATTCCGCAATTTTTTGTGAAGTTTTTGGGTCACTTTGGGTTTGGCATGATGCGTTTGTGTGCTGTCATTCACGCACCTATGGAATGCACATAAATGGGGTTGCCTGTATAAAACCACAAAAAGAAAACATAAAATTCTTACGCCGCACCCATGTATATGAAGCTTTAATGCTTATTGCAACACAATCCTACCCATATCTGCTCCGAAGTAAGATGAAGCAAGAAATGCTTTCTTAAGAAAGATGAAGGCTTTAGGCCTTGTCTTACCTCCTGGGAGTAAGCCCCTTTGGATTCAGTAGGGTTTACTTCTGAGTAGGATTACCACCCAACAGTTCTGGCATTTGTAGAACCTGAAATATGAGACAAAATTCCTACTCAGCATAGGCCCATTAAAGTTTATTAATTACTAACTTGGGTTCATTAATTTCAATAGTTGTAGTCTGAGTAGAACTTACTTGAATTCAACCCTGGGAATGAATCTCACTGAGCTCTATGATTTTTAACTACTTAGAAGTAAGTCCAATAATCCAAGAACCTGTGTCAAAATACAATGGCTATCCAGCTCTAAAATAGTGAACTTTAGGTTGTGACTTCTAAATCTGAGTCTTATCGTGAAATAATTGTTAACAGAATTTGAACCAAAATATTTAAAACGTGTGGCAAAACGCAAAGAATTACACACTATTGCAAGTGTGTTGTAAGAATAATCATTGCAAGCCAATCACCGGGAAGAGTTTTTCTCCACTGGCAAAACATTGAGCTATTAGATTTTTGCTGCCTTGGTTATCATTCAAATTGAGCTAGACTTGCTCTTTGCTTTTTATCCATTCCCTAGAGAGGAAGAAATCATTTCCCTAACGGGGTAGGCTAGACTTGTAAATCTTCACAAAAGGACTGGGGAAAGAAAAGAACACATATACCAAGCAATGGAAGACGACATACGTTGAATCCATATTGTAGGGGTTGCCAGTGCCTGCAGAGGCCTTCCCTAGCTCCGACAGGGTCCCCTCCTTTCCCCCTCAAAGTGCTTAAAAACATTCTCTTACAGGAAATAGAACAGGCTGTAGTTTGTATTTCAGCACTGTGTGTGTTTATGTGTGTGTGGTGTCCGCAACATTTGCTCTGATTTGCAGATGTGCCCTTCGGCTCCCAAAAGTTGGTGACACTTGTTACATTTTTTATATCTATACATTGTTTCATTTCTCTATCCTACAAATATTTGAGAGTGTTTACAATGCCATCAGATTGTTGTTTCAGCCATGGCTTTGTCCCACAATCTGTTTTGCAAGTGACTGGTCTTAGACCTGGCATATACGAGGTGATAACAGACACATGCTCCTCTGAGTAGGTGTGGTGCCTTCTTCCATCAAGTGGGTAACCATAATTTGATAAGGGGAAAGGTATCTGTTATAGAATATGCTTTTTAGGCAAGGAGTAAGCATGTTGCTTACCATTGTAATAACAAAGCATTGGGTTAGACTGGAAACCGTGGTGTCTGTAAAATCCAGATTTAAAAAAAATAACTATACAGGCTGATTTGTTACTCTAGAATTGTGAAGTGTAGGTACGAAGCAATGTTCCTTCAGGCTCTCAAAATAAAATTTGTGGTCAGAGCTTACCCAAAACAAGTTTTTCAGGGCTCACTTAAAGGCAGGGGGAACAATCCACCCCAAGATTAGACACATTACATTCATTCATGCATTTAACATCCTGTCTAGTTTGGCCCCAGGAGGTGGTATCATTTTCACTATGCATTCCTGATGAACAGAGGTCCTTCTTGCAGCATTGTTTGCCCCATCACCTACCACAGGGGTGGGGAACCTGTGTCCCTTCAAATGCTTTTGGACTATAACTCCCATCAGCCCCAGAGAGTATGGCCATCAATGATGGGAGTTGTACTCCAGTGACACCTGTAGGGCCAAAGGTTCCCGACCCCTGACCTACCAGGTTACTCCTTAATTGGATATTTATTGTGAGGAAGTATTGTATTTAAAAAACAACAACCCAACAACTGACATTTCACTACTCTTGTCTCTAAGCTCTGAAACATATAAAAAGCTTGTTGTCACAACCATTATGGTTACCTAAAATAGAGGCCTCATTTTTAGTCCAATTGAAATGAATCCAACAGTACAATTCTATGGAATTGTGTGAATCTTTGTTAAGCTTCACATACTCCTTAGACAGGGATGGTAGGATCAATCAGTTTTGGTTCTTTCGGTTTCTTATTTTTCCTACATTCAGTTCTCTACATTTTTGCAGCATTTCCCCCCTCCTGAAAATATGTCAATGTTTTAGTGTGAATGTCTCTTAATAAACATATTTTTATATGGAAATGTACACATTTTTGCAAGTATTTTCCCATAATATGGTGTATTCTTGTGTGCTATTTTCACTAATCTCATTTTTATGCACATGTTTTCCTAATGGATGCATTTTTGTGAACATTATTTCACTAGAGAACTACATCACAAAATTCGGATGTGTGACTTTCAAAGGATAGCTGTGTTTTGGTTCTCATATAAGTTTTGAAAGTGCAAATTTGGCTGATTTGCCTTTTAATGTGAACTGAATCAAATATCTCCCTATTCTTAGATCAGTAGTACATTTAAGAATATGAGCCTTAGATATATGCAGCCTCACTCTTCCACAGAATGGAATTATTACAGTAATTTTGCATTGAATACAATTCTTGCATAATTCTCAGCATACCCAGCAAGAAGTTTCTAGTTTTAGTTCCTGATCTTTTATGTAAATCTATTATTTTTTATGCTCTTCTTACTAAATAACTTCCTTTTGACACTCTTACTTCACTTCTTGAACATTAGAAACATCCTAATTAAGTAATCAGCCTTATAATCAGGAACTTGCTAATATGTGGCATTCAGATGCTATGGATACTGAAAGCTTTACAAAATGCCTGTTTGTTTCACAAACTGTTGGGAAAGCCAAAAGACAGAACATTGAAGCACCGCCCCCCCCTAAAATTGACTCTGCTGCCATGATAGAGCACAAAGCAGCATGAAGTAAACAAATGAGACATGGTGCAGTAAATTTATGTCAACAAGCACCATTTTGCATCTGTTAAATTTGGTGAGAAAGCACAGAAATGGCTCCAGTTGTGTCAGTTTATACAACTTTTCACCAGTGGGTATGCCACTAATCTTTGCTTTAGTGACTAAAATACACGGCATCTGCAGTCTAGTTCAAC